TAAGCCAAGAATACAGTGGGAGGAAAATTGAGCTTGAAGAGATTCAATATCAAAGTGATGAACGAACCTCTGACACTGGCAATCAACTTGAGGAGGAAACTCCTGTTGAACCTGTTGACGAGTCCTTACCTCTTCGACGTTCCACTAGGGCTAGTGTTCCATCCCAGTTTTATGGTCTTCATATTACTACTGAAGGGGATACATTTATTAGTGATAGTACACTAGTAAAGTTGGATGAACCTAGCAGCTACAAGGAAGCCATGGTAGGCCTGGAGTCTGCGAAATGGAAAGAGGCAATGGACAGCGAGATTCAGTCCATGTACAACAACCAAGTTTGGAATTTGGTTGATAATGTACCGGGTCGTAAGACAGTCAGGTGCAAGTGGATCTTCAAGAAGAAGACGGACATCGATGGGAAAGTGCATACTTATAAAGCGTGATTGGTTGCGAAGGGCTTTACTCAAACTCCCGGAGTTGACTATGATGAGACCTTCTCACCAGGTGCGAATATAAAGTCTATTAGGGTAATGCAATAGCTGCGTTTCATGATTATGAAATATGGCAAATGGACGTGAAAACCGCTTTCCTTAATGGAAAGTTGGCTGAAGATGTTTACATGAATCAGCCAGAGGGTTTTGTCGATGCGAAGCATCCAAATAGAGTATGCAAGCTTGAGAAATCCATTTATGGATTGAAACAAGCTTCTCGCAGATGGAATCTTTGTTTTGACGAGAAGGTTAACGAGTTTGGCTTTCTGCAAAGCGAAGATGAATCTTGTGTGTATGTCAAAGCCAGTGGGAGTACAGTGAGCTTCCTCGTATTATATGTCTATGACATACTACTCATAAGAAACAATGTCCCAACCTTGCAGGAGGTCAAGTCCTGGCTTTGGAAATGTTTCGCTATGAAGGACCTCATAGAGGCTGCTTATATTCTGGGAATAAGGATAGTAAGAAACAGAGAAAAGAGGCTGATAGGACTCAGTCAGTATACATACTTGGATAAGGTACTAAAATGTTTTAGTATGGAAAATTCCAAGAAAGGGGAGTTACCAATCCAAAGCAATACCAAGCTGAGTAAGACTCAGAGCCCGAGTACAGAGGCAGAGATAGCTGATATGAGCCGAGTACCTTACGCTTCCGCAGTTGGCTCTATCATGTACGCTATGACTTGTACTCGCCCTGATGTGGCCTTCCCTTTGAGCATGGTCAGCAGATATCAGGGGAACCTTGGTAGAGCCCATTGGATTGTAGTTAAGAATATTCTTAAGTACCTGCGAAGGACTAAGGAATGGTTTCTAGTCCTCAGTGGGAGTGATGACTTAAGGGTACGAGGGTACAGTGACGCTAGTTTTCAGACGGATCGGGATAATTTCCGATCGCAGTCGGGCTGGGTCTTTACCCTAAATGGAGGAGTAGTGACTTGGAAGAGTTCCAAGCAGGAGACCGTAGCTGATTCAACGTGCGAATCAGAGTACATTGTGGCGAGCAAAGCGTCGAAGGAGGCTATATGGTTGAAGAACTTCATTGGAGACCTTGGAGTTTTGCCATCCATAAAGGAGCCAATGGAAATTTTTTGTGATAATGAAGGAACGGTTGCCTTGACCAAGGAACCGAGAGATCATGGTAGATCTCGACATATCGACAAAAAATACCATTTTATCAGACATCGGGTAGAAGAGGGACTCCACGTTGTGAAGAGGGCATCATCAGAAGAAAACCCAGCAGATGCCCTTACGAAGGGACTGAGTAGGGTCAAACACTTGCAGCACGCTAGGAGCATTGGGCTGAAGGATGATATAAGTTTGGATTAGATAGGAAACATGTAATAGATAGTTTGTACTTGACATTTGATGAATAAATAAAATTGTGTTATTTATGAGTAAAGCTACTGTCTTGTGTTGGTTATCTATCTATTATTTTAATTTTGCATGTTTTGACTTCCTGAATGATAGGATTATTCAAACAGTCCACAGTTAGTCGTATTTTGGAAGTAGATATGAATGAAGACTGTCATGAATTGTTTGTAGATTGTCTAAAAGGTTTTGGGCATAACAAAGGTTTTCTGCAAAGTTCATGAGTGCTTTGAATATGATTTGAGCATTGGAATAAACCCAAGTTTGCTGGTATCACTTCGTGGTGTTTTGCCTTAAGTGATCGCAAAGCGATAATATCATATAGTCTTAAAACTTAGAGATATGGTTGTTGTTTGCTGGTTGGTTATGCATTGATGATGTGCAAACGCATCAGTAACTTGATGTTATAAAATGCATTATTGTTCATGATTCAATTAGTGAATAATAGATGCATATGAGTCGAAGTTGATCTGTTTCTTTTATTCTATGAGAATAAAAGTGATATCTTGGCCACTTGATGATTTGGTTTGACTTATGTGTCGGGCCCGATCAGAATGAAGTTGATGTGTTCAACTAAATTCTATGTCAAACAAATCGGAAATCAAGGAACAAGTGCTGGACAATAAGCATTGTCAGCATGATATCCAGAACAGAGGATTGTACGATCCCTTATCTAAAGGACAAGTTGACCAGAGTTGACAGCGAAGTATAAGAGCTACGATTGCTAATCGGATTCTGAAGTCATATGTGAGATATAGTTACTAGACTTATCGAAGTGGGAGACTGTTGGCATAGTGTCTAAGCCCGTAACTATATTTGGTATGTACTTGACCCGGTTGTGCATGGTCCTTTTGGGTTGCCTTCACCAGGGCAACTTGACAAGGTAATTTAAGGAGAAAGAGAGAATATTATGGCTTATTAATATATTATAAGAATAATATATTATAGGAGAAATCATATTTATTTAATTAGTATTGGTCATAAATTAATTAGGAATTTATTTGGTGACCAAAAGAGATTAATTGAATAAAGGGGTATAAACTATCAAATGTATGATAGTTGAGTTTTGGGTTAAGGAAACCTAATGGACTTAATGGGAACGAAATTATGATGGGTATCCATCATATTTTCGTCCAAGGCCTTATTCCAGAAGGTTTCTTGGGCTGCTTGGTGGCTAAGCTATCCATTAGGGTTTAGACTGAAACCCTAGTAGCCTGTAAGTATAAATAAGACCCCTAGGGCATTGAAATCGACTACCACTTGATTCTAAGAGAACCCTAGGCCGATTTCTAGCATCTCTCACCTCTCTCATATAATTGCCTTCTTGCTTGTGGTGTTTGTAAGCCATTAGAGGAGTTACATTTGCGACTCTAAGCTCAAGAGAAGAAGAGAAGAAGATCTAAGCCAATATTTGAAGACGTAAACATCTAGATCTGATTCTATATGTAGTTTTTGTTATTTGTATGCTAGATTAGGGTTTGTAAGTCTTGTAATAAAAGCATGTTCAATAGAGAAACCTAGATCCAAGCATTAGGGTTTGTATGAGCACATAGTAATGTTTCTTATGCATAAAACCCATCACATATCATATTAGCTATAAAGATATCTCTATCATATAACATGAGCTATAAAAGCTATCTCTACCACATATCCCTACGTAAGGTTGCCATGGGCTCCTCCCATGGTCTTTCCCTGCTGGATAGCCATGGGATCCCCCATGGTCTTTACCTGAAAAGCCATGGGCTCCCCCACATGGTCTTATATCCAAATGCCATGGGCTCCCCCCATGGTCTTTCAGGCAAATATCACATAAACAAATAGCATAGCACATAAAATATAACCAACTAGCATACCACATATCACTAAATTAACTAGTGTACCACATATCATAAAATGGGCCGGTCTTGGTGCCTTAGACCCATTGGTATGGTGATGAGACTCACCTGGCACTGCTGAAGTCCCACAGATATAACTCCAGCTGTTGGTTGATAGATTCTCAAACTGTCAACATCAAACAATACCCAATTAATAATTGGGTTCCAAGCCCAAGGTCCAACTCACACTACACATGCCGAATAGTCAAGTAATGGGCCAATGTCCAACATATGGCCCAAATTTCCTAATTGGGCCCAACGTACCATTCACATAGGCTCTACCTTAAGGCCCAACCACCTATCCTGGTCCAAACATTTGACATTCTAATGGCCCAATCTCTTATATTCATAAAGGCCCAAGTATGGCCCATTTATGGCCCAATTTTCCAAATTGGGCCCAAGTCCATCACATTGCCTTACCCTAAAGGCCATCTAATTATTTTAGACCATTTACTTGCTCTTGGATAGGTCATTAGTAGCCAAATCACCAAATCCCAGTAGTAAGGCCCAATTCAAGGCCCAAGTGAAATTAGGATTGTCCACATGAAATGACGATTAACGTTAAGTTTTCCTACTTAACCCATTAAGGACTTAATCCATTAAGTCCAATATTACCTTAGGTTAATTTGTAATGATTATTAATTATTATTTTTAGTTTAATACATAATTCCCGTGCGGTCCCAATAAATCCCAAAATTAGGGTTTCATGGAATTAAGGTTTTCCAAACCCTAATACTATCCCATTAGGGTTTCGCTAGTTGGGCACCACCCACTACCACCTCGGGTAGTGGTGGTCAACGGCAGCTCATGGCAGCGGCCACCACCTAACGGTGATGGTGACGAATTTTCTTTACTATTCCGATTGATTACAATATTACAACACGATATTCAAATAAGCACACACTCACGAGAACACATACACACACCCGACCAACCTTGTGGTGGTAGGCGGTGGTTGGATAGTGGCAGCCACCATGGATGGCGGCCATGGTGGTCCCTTTACATTTCCGGCCAACAACCACCCACACACTACACTCTTCTACCCATAATGAGTCAAGCCACCCACTTAGTGGCGTGTGGCAGCGGTGTAGAGGGTGAGAGCAGCAACAGCAGTTAACGTAAACGTTGTCGACGACAGCCACCATAGAAGGATGCCATGGTGGTTTGTCTTCGAGTTTTTCTATCCCTCGAGCGTCTTTATTGCAATCTGCAACCCAAGTCACCCACGAGCTTGCGAGGCACGACAGAAAGGCACACACACACACACATGCTTAGCAGTGGTGGCAATCCATCGCTAGAATATCGACTACATCAGCAATAGAAGAAGAAGAACGAGGATACGGAGGTTCACTGCTTGATGGCAACGTAGCAGCAGTGACACAAGGCGGTGGCAGCAGCGATGCTATCGGCCATCTATAACGGAGCTGGACTCGGATGGCGGTTCCCGAGTGGTTGTTATGTTCCCGATGGCGGATGAGGGCTTCCATGGCAGCGACGAAGACTGAAAGGCAGCCTAATCGAGTAGCAGTGGCGATCACACACACAACTTCATCTTTCCAACGTCAGGGGGAGCACGCGGGGGTTACTCCGATGGTTTGGGGTCCTAACCGGGGTGGTGGCTGGAATTTCGGAGGGTGGCGGTTGCACAACTAAATTTAGGATTAGGGTTTGCATGTGGGTTAGGATGAATATATATGGAATTACAAGAGGGTGACGGGTTTAACCCGTCTTCAACTTTCAAATCTATGCACATTTTACACTTCCAGTCCTTCCCTTCTTATTCTTCTCAAATTAAATCCAAATATTACCATTTATCCCTCAACATTCAATATCCTTTCCATTTAAGTCCCAATCTTACCAAACAACCCATAACTCCTGAAAGTCTTCACAAAATAAATCCCAGAAATACAAAATAATAATAAAATTACCTCTCGGGGTCCGGTTTATTGTTTAATTGTTCTATTTTAAACGGGATGTTACACACCAAATAGTAATGAAGAATATGAGAGAGAGGTTAGAGCCTCCTAAATTCGGCTAGGGTTTTTTCTTAGAATGCATAGGCCAAAATTAGGAGTCCAGGGGGTTCCTTTTATAGTTGAGGCTCCTAGGGTTTTCAACATAGAAACCCTAATTCCTTTGTTTAGGCCCTAAGAAGCATATGGATTACCATAAGGAAAGCCTTGGACAAAATCTCTATGGACTTCCATAGAGTTTTTCTTCCACCCCTTTACCAATAGAGTCCATGAGCCCAAACTACAGCTATTACTAATTTACACAATCAGTCCCCGTTAATTTAATCAATCTCTTTTGATCACGAAATTAATACCAAATTAATTCTTAATCAATACTAATTAAATAATATGATTTCTCAATTGATATATTATTCTTATAATATATTAATAAATCAAAATTAACCTTTTCTTCATATTTCATCCTATCAAATTACTATGATGAAGGCAACCCAAAAACGACCATGATACTATCGGGTCAAGTACATCCCAATTATAGTTATGGGGCTTAGACACCTAATCCAACTATATATATATATATATATATATATATATATATATATATATATATATATACACACACACACACACATTTGGTATTTTCTTTTTTAAAATATTTATAATTCAACACAACCATGGGTACTGTGCCATGGAAAGCATTGTTGTTGTAATTGTCCTCATCACTCATTTGCTTTGCGAGTTTCATGTCTTGCCATTGAATCAACCAACTCATTTATTTGATAATCGAAGTGCTATCTTTGTTGGTCAAAACCTTGTTTTACATACGCAAGGTAAACACATTGACCTTGATTATCATTTTGTTTGGGAACTTGTTTCCTCTGGAAAGCTACACACTAATTTTGTTCCTACCAAGCTGAAATTTGCAAATTTCTTTACTAAGAATCTCCCCAAACCTTTAATTCAAACACTTCCACTCAAAGTGTATCATTCATAAAACTCTTGAAAATTTTAAACTTTTTCAAACATCCAAAAACCACCATTTATTACAAATTGTTTTCAAAATAGTTTATCATCAAAGAATGCCAGATATCATAACATAAAATGCAAGGAGGTGCATGATCAAGCTTTCACCTTCCCACGATCATCCAAAGTACCTGAAACAAAATCCGCAAATATAAGCTCGAAGCTTAGTGAGTTCCCCCAAAGTACAACATTCACAAATAACACATATCACAAACAACATACTATGGGCCCAATCAACCATCGGGTTGGAATACCCCAGGCCCTTAAACCATTAGGTTGGAATGCCAACATACTATGAGTCCGATCAACCATCGAGTTGGAATACCCCAAACTCCTTAACCATCGGGTTGGAAAACCAACATACTATGGGTCCAATCAACCATCGGGTTGGAATACCCTAGGCCCCTCAATCATCGGGTTGGAATGCCAACATATTATGAGTCCAATCATTCTCAGGATGGAATACTCTGGGCTCTCAACCATCGGGTTAGAATACCCCAGCCTGTTGGCTTACGCATAAAGCAGTGAAGCCTCAGCCACTAATCAGACATGTGCACATATAACATATAATCATATAACTGTCTACAGCCAGTCAAACAGATCTAACAGATCACTAAGCATAACAACATCTTATCTACCAGGATACCGATCTAACAGATCATGATAGCATAACAAAATCCTATCTACCAGGATACTAATCTAACAAATCATAACAGTACTCAATCATATGATGAATCAAGATAACAATCCAAAGGGTCAGCCTTGGTGCCTTAGACCCTTAAGTACCGTGAGGAAAACTCACCTGACAAGCTGAACATAACCGATAAGGCCCGACTCCAAATCTTAGCTCTCAACTCAATGCCTACATTCACCAAGTGATCAATCCATTAAAATCCCGAAATACCCAAAACACCTTCAAGGTCAAACTTGGTCAACCATGGCCAAAGTCAAAGTCAATAGTTAATGTCAACAGTCCATGTTGACCCAACTCGTCGAGTGCATCTATCGACTTGTCGAGTTCCTTCAGTACTTAGAAAAACAAGAAAAACCCAAACCAACTCGCCGAGTTGTTAGAACAACTCGTTGAGTTCCTGCATTATCCAGAAAATGGGAAAAACCAACTCAACTCGCCGAGTTGGCTAGGTAACTTGTCGAGTTCTCCTAGTCACAAAGCATTTAGCTATTTCCCAAGCGAATCTAATGCCTCAAACCATAGATCTAGTCCCCTAGGGTTAAGAGACCACGTAAAGTTGCTAACTTTACATCCATGCATGGCATCAAGGGGCTAAGACACTCAAACAAAGATTACTAAGGGACTTAGAGCATGAAGGAGGGTCAAGACTTGATGAAGTTGGCAACTTTAAGTCCATGGAGGCCATGAGGTGTCCAAATCTGAAGTCATAGCTTCATAACATGATCAAATCCAAGAATGGTCCCAAAATAAACTAATAATAGCAATAAACTATCAAATGGAGAAATCTAGAAAATGAATGATCAAGGTATCAACTTTAAACCTCAATGTGGTTGCAACATTGATGAGGTATTTGGAGCTGTTGATGCTTATGTCTATCGTGATCTCGACTACGTGGTTGCGTAGGTCTTGTGGTTTGACTTAGCTCTTGTGTTTTGAACGTCGCAACTTCTTTATATGATATTAGATTTTAACGATCTTCATATCCACGTGTTCTTTCTTTGAGTCTACTACAATTTTCGCTAAGATTACTCCTGTTAAAATGTAATTTATTTTTACTTACGTTTTTATAAAAAAAACATCCATACATGCATTCATAAAAAACGTATAGATTTAAAGACCGTAAGTAAAAATATATATTACTTTTTAACAGGAGTAATCTAAACAAAAGTTATAGTAGACTAAAATCTGAGATCATATGAATAAGTTATGACGTTCAGAACACATGACTTAAGCAACCAAGTAGTCGAGGTCGCGATGAACATAAGCATCGAAATACCCAAATACCCCATTAATGATTGTCTCACGTAAGATGTCATGAGGAACCCTAAAAAATCATTCATAAGTACTGAATGAGTACAAAAACAAAAATCATTTATTTTGCAACAAAAAAATATTAAGGACAAAAAATGTACAAAATATTAAAGACTACATATTTACAAAGTAAGAAATATATTACCATATTAAACTATTTTTACCGGTTATCCTAGAATAGTCGGTTATAAGGAGTGAATGTTGACAGTTTAACAAGTTGAAGGGACAAATTTGGATGAAAAAAACTCAATAACCAAATATTTACAAATTAAAAAATATATTATCCTTTTAAATCATTATTCCTCTCAGACATACAGTGAGTATCGATAAAAGAAAAAAAAAATAAACCCACTATCTCATGGAGACTAGAATAAATTATGGCTTTTAGAGATAGGGCCTACAGTTGAAAACATTTTTGTGACTAAGTTTTAAAAGGACAATTTGGTAATTTTCATGTATTAATTGTTATGTTCCATGTGAAATTATCAAACGCCTTAAGGATTATGGTGTGATTATAGTTTCCTTTATTTTATATATTCTTTGTATTATATATATACTCGATGAAATATCCTCCACATGTGTGGTGAATTTCTCCACCTTACTTCATGATTACATTTTTACATCTATAAATACTTTAGAAATTTCGGTCTTTGAACGTCTCAAGTTATTAAAACAACAACAAATTCACAACACACAACAAGCATATACATGCCCACATTACACGAATAATTGCGACTACTTCCCTCTGCCAATGAGCCCAATGGCGTACGACACATGGACACCAAGTGCCACAATCACCAGAACACCCACACCCACATTCACCAGTAACTTCCTGTCTTCGCTCACCTCTCTCCTAGCCACCACCCTCTTCATCTCCTCCACTCTATCACCCAGAAAACCGCCATGACTAACCCCTGTGTCCTTCGATTTTCCCATTCTTCCATCGGAAACCCTCTTCATCTCCTCCTCTAGTGGGTTTTCTTTTTCTTTTCCTTCGTCAAAATCCATCTTTCCATAACCATCTTTCTGATGGATTTCCCTTTCTTCATCGGGCTTCTCAACAACATTATGTTTTTCTTTCTTAGGAATGCTCGTTGGTAATGATCCAAATATAAGTTCCTCATTCTTTTCCTTTACTTCTGGTGCGGTTTTAAATGGTTCTTTTTTTGATTGTTTAGATGAAGGTGGTGGTATTGGTTGTGGTGGCAAAGTGCTGCCTTTTAAAGGACTTTGAGGCCTGTTTGGTTTCTTCTCAGATTCAAGAGCAGTTTCTTTTTGCTTGGATTCTTCTTTAGGTTTTTGTAAAGCTTCTTCTTGCTTTGTTTTCCTAAAGGGTTGTTCTTCAGCTTTAGGGGCAACTCGAGGCCTATCTGGTTTCTTTGCAGATTCAAAAGCTGTTTCTTTTTGCTTAGATTCTTCTTTAGGTTTTTGTAACGCTTCATCTTGCTGTGTTCTTCTGAAGGGTTGTTCTTCGGCTTTAGGGGCAACTCGAGGTGCGGCGGCAAAGGCGGTGGGGATGGCGGTGGCGGTGGCGGTGATCTTCCTAGGCATTGTAATTGTCAGAATTCCACCATCAAATCTTGCTCGAATACCTGTCATATCACAATTCTCAGGAACTCGAAAATCTTCCAGAAAGCGACTCCATTTGTTATTTGCAACCAGACGCTCCCCACGAA